AAACTTTCTTACGAAGTGTAGACCCTAAGCAAATGTGAAATTTTCACTTTGATCTATCATTGAAACTTTCCCAAGGGGAGGTGCATCACTTTTCAGGGGAGGCGCAAAATTATCAGGGGAGGTGCAACTGCATTTGCAGAAAAAATGGAGCATAAAAACTACAGTAACTGTACCTGCAAAGGAATTGTAGTCAAAATTCACAATTAGTGATGACAACACATCTGGCCATACTAGTTTGTATTTTTCTTTGCCACCATCCTGTTATATTTAAAAAGAATACAATTAAACTAACCTTACTGGATAGCTTTTGCCTTTAGTAAAACCTAAGATAAACTAACTTAATAGCTCTACAGCTTTTACTAATTTCTACACTGTGTTGAAGTTTTTTATTGGTTAAGTGCTATGATAGGAGGGAGTCTCAGAAGTGGATATACCACGGGGGTGCACCCCACCTAGTGGTGTCTAGTCCCCCCCCTGGCCCCTCCTAGAGATATCCAGTAGTACCACCCTAAAAAACTGCTTGACCATACATTTTCTGCTTTTCGAATAGCGATAAATAGTGGAACTTCTACTGTTAGCGCATGTTGATTTCTTGAAACGATTTAATTGATTTTTGAGCTCACAAGAAAATACTCAGAATCTTTTAGTTAAATATCATGGTTAAATATATAAACATGTTGAGGTTGTTAATACAGCCATATTTTGAAATATACTGTACTTTAACAAGAAAATTTACTGTACTTAATTTAACTTCATAAACATAAGATAATGTAAAACATAACAGAATGGCAAACATGCAGATTTGGCCATCTCAAATAATGGTAATGTTGGAATAGTAGCGTTGCAAACTGCCAGTGCTGTAAGTAACTTCGTTACAAGTAACGAAATTACAAGTAATCGTTACTTTTTGAGTAACTGTAACGGTAACTAGTTACCTTTAAAAATAAGGTAACTGTAACTGTAACGAGTTACATTTTGGCCAAAAAATGAAACGATAACGTGTTACATTTATAGCCAACGTTTACGTTACTTTTTTCGTTACATTCTTGCGGTTAAAACTTACAATTCACCTCTCAGTTCTCGAAATTCTCCTCACGGTTTTCTACGACAACGCATGCTACAGTGCTTAACACAGCTGAGAGATCCATTAGTGGTAAGGTTACATAACGTTTACAAATAATTAACGTCAATCTGCTGACCACTAATCATTAAGTTGAAAAACACCGGGGTTTTTCTTACTTGAAGTAACTTGTAACTAGTTACAAAAATATTGAAGTAATTTTGTAACGGGAACTAGTTACATTTTTTTAAGTGTAACTTTTACCAGTAACTAGTTCCTTTTTTGGGAATGTAACTGTAACTGTAACTGTAACTAGTTCCAAAAAATGAATAACTTTTACAGCACTGCTGAAACTGCAGAGGAGAGTGGGCAGTAAGGCTCCCTCATGCACCACCCCATGGAAAACCTGCATCCCTCCTTGCAGATGACGCAATAGATGAGGATGCCCATATCATATCAACATTGCACTTACTTCTTTGTCCACTATATCAATCAGTCTTGCACATAACAACATGGCGGGCATGTCGAAGAAATTTTCAAACATTCGATATGTCGCCCCATGTAGGAAATTTCCTTGGAAAAGAAATAGTGAAAACACATAAGATTACATACTCTGGTTTCTGTAACAATGTAGAAGCTTAGGGTGAATCACAGGTGAACGTTTATACAGGGGCGGCACTAGGCCTCCTGCAATGGGGGGTGGGTGTGTGAGGTATAGTTTTGCTGAGCCATTAGCTTGGTCTGTATTAGCCTATGTACATGCGCACATTGCATATACACAGATTATTATTACACATTGCATATACACAGATTATTAACATTGCATATACACAGATTATTATTAACATTGCATATACACAGATTATTATTAACATTGCATATACACAGATTATTATTAACATTGCATATACACAGATTATTATTAACATTGCATATACACAGATTATTATTAACATTGCATATACACAGATTATTATTAACATTGCATATACACAGATTATTATTAACATTGCATATACACAGATTATGGAAAAACTTACTATACTTGACTGTTTTTAATTAACTACACAGAGTTCTAGGGGGGTGCATGCTCCCCCAGAAAATTTTTGAAATCCAGAGTCTGTGAAATGGCACTTCCTCCCAGGGATGGATCCAGCATGATCTGGTGG